TCAGATGTCGCGGTGAGGGAGTGGCCTTCGGCGGCGCGGCTGCGCCATCGCTGCCGTTGTTTTAGCTTAATGGTGCTGACGCCCCCTTAATCTAGGGATAGCGAAAAATAAATTTGAGGGGTTTCGTTTTCCTCCTTTAAAAAAAATTTTTTTTTCTCCTGAGTGTTTTCCTCCCTTATAATGAAGGATCTCAGTCACTATTTCAACATGAGAATAAACTGGAAAGAGACCTGAGGCCTGGAAGGCTGCTCTGGATCTTAAATCTCTAGACTGTATTTCATATTGATATGAAGATGTAAGTGATTTTATTGCATTTGAGGAAAGGTGGTGAGAGGAGCAAAGAGATTCCTACAAGGCTTTTTAGCCCTTAGGTTGTCTCCTGGCTGGAATTTGAGAATGGAAATAAACTGAAAACTTACAGCAGTTTGCCCAAATTTGTAGACAATTTTTTAAGTGACTTTCATCTTTAACTCAAGGTTCATATCTCAAAAATATATGTTATTCAGAATCTGTTAGGTGAGTAGAACAGAAAATAAATTATTAGCTTTGCTGCTTCTAGCCTTTGGTTTTCTGGACACTTACAGGTTAAGATCTTTACAAAAGTCATGGGAGTCGCTGACACGTGTCCTCATGCTAGGGAAGATTGTATAATCCCAAATTTTCATTTCATGACTTCAAACACTTACAGTGAAACACAGCTTCCCTTCTTTCCTTCCCCTCTTTTGTCTGCAAGGGTATCGTTAGTGAACAACGCTTCACTTACCAACATATGCAACTACTGTGTATAATCTAGGTCATGCCAGCAACAGTCTTCAGCTACCTCTGCAGCTTTAATCTAGAACAAATCTGTGATGCTGCTGAAAGGAAAGTGAATCAGGCAACTGAGTGATTCAAAAACTGGGTGGGGTTTTTTTGGCCAGGTCATTTTTCAGCCAGGTCACTTCTGTCAAATCACTTACGATGCAGGAACACAAATACCTCTGCTGCCTTAGGGGTAGGAGGGAAGGGAACTAGTCAGTCCTCTCCAGCAGTGGATTCAAGCTGGCTTAAGCTAGATAGCTACTCATTGAGCTATACTGCCCCAAACCATAATTTTTATCTTTGATCATACTAACTATATTATTTTCTTGCCTTGCTGTTTTACTTGTGAAACATACAAAACAAGCAAAGAAACATGATGCAACATTCTTTTAGCACCAGAAGATGAAAAAGAATCTTAAATGAAATTGAATAGCATTAAGAAAAATGGAGAGCACTGTAGAAAGTTGGCAAGTGCATTGAGAAAGTTCATAGTTACACTTTCAGAGAATGGAATCTTTCTAAAAAATTTAATCTTAAAACGTATTTCTGACAGTGCAGTGTAAACAGGTCTGCAAGGGTAGAAGAAGGAAAGCCTTCCTTGTATTTTTTCCTTCTCTGCTTTGTCTTCATGGAGGTGCTTAGTACTTCTACATAAAATTCAGGCTGCACTTTTTATCTTGAAACATTTATCTAGTTTTGACTTAACTTTTTTTTTGCTTACCTAGCCGTTGGATCAAATGTTGGAGGCAGACAAGAACGATGCATTAAAGAAAGCTCTGACTTGTGGTGATGTATCGTTGATTGAAGAACTCTTAAATTCAGGTGAGGAAAGTGAATTATGAAGTTGAATATTTTTAACTGACAGTAGCAAGAATTCTCATGCTTAAAAGATTCTCACTTCAAAATAGTGTCTTGGGTGCATGTAGGACTATGTCCATGTTTCTAATACAGGATATAGACTCTTATTTTAAAGATAAAGTTACTTTTCAGTGACTCAGCATGCAGTATTCCAGCAAATTTTATCTGAGTTATATTTATTTCATTTTATCAGTCAGGAATCCTGAATACTGACAAAGCTATAATGTGTGAACTGTGAAATAACATGTCTCTCTGTTTTCAGGTGCATTTTTCATCTGGAAATCTCCTATTACAAACGCTAAGTTTGGAGTGGTTTAAACTGAGAATGAGAATTCACTGGATCTTTTTATCTTGGGGTTGAAGGTTGTGGTGTTGAGGGTTCTTTTGTTCATTTGTTTTCTAATGCTCCCACAGTTTGGAAACTCCATGTTGTTTTTCTCGCTCATCAGCACTATTGTGTTTCTGGTATGCTCCATGTGTAATACTGCTGTCTTGGCAGCGTGGCTGGACATTGTGATTCCAAAAGGTCTAATAGGGTTTGTGTGGCATTTGTCACTGTTGCAAATCATGACTAAAACTAGTGCATTTCAACACCAAAAACCATTCTCCCTGTCTTTGTTGCTCGGTATTTCTCTGTAATGTGTTTCTATTATTCAGTGTTAGGAGGATTGGATCACCTATTGAAGCATCCAGGGCAATCAAAACTGCATAGCTGAATAACCTGCCTAGCGATAATTGTCGGGAAGTTCTGCTTCAGCAAGCAAGCAGAATATAGTAGCAAAGAGCTTGTTCTCTGAGAAAGTGTGTCTTATGGCTGGAAGAAAGCAGATTCTTAGTTAGTAAGGTTTTTCTGAGTTGTTTTAAAGCATTATTGTTACTTGCCCTTTTAAAAAAAGATTGTTTTTTTACCTAAATTGGGATTTTTTTTTTTTTTAAACTGGAAACTACTATACAGCCTGAAACTCAAAGACATAGTAATGAATGAAATCCCTTATCCCTTGCTTTGAGAAAATCTGCTTATAAGTAGAATTTTTAGTGATGTCTGGACATCAGGTTGCTTAGTTATTTTATGTTACAGCCTTGCATTTTTATTTCCTTGTAACTCACTCAAGCATTGATAGTTCACACCGAACCTTTCCATGTTGATGCCCCTCACATAATGGGCTGTTTTATACTTTTGGAAGATGATGATGTGGATCTATTAAGAACATAAGGTCAAGCAAAAGATTCCTGTAGCCTGGTATCCTGTACCCAGAGATGCACAAGGCAAAGTATCACAAGATCTATAAATTTCCTAAGAAAAAGGCTAACAGTAAAATTCTGACACATCCAATACTGCCGCTGCAGAGCAGTAATAGGTAACAAATCTCTGACTGGGAGGTGTTTCTGGAGAAAGATAATATTGTCTTCCAAAATATCTTTGCTAATCAGATGAAATCTTTGCCTCTAAAGTCAGTCACTTGCAGTGACTAAGTTCACTGGAGCTTGCTACTAGCGCTTGAACAAATTCCCAGTTTGTGTTGGACAAGCGGATTTCCTAGCAACAGTTGTGGCCATTCTTTCAAGTAGAACAAGAACATGTCATCTCCTGGCTCTTAGTGATTGATTGAAGAATCTTTAGTGGTGAGGCAGTTTCACAGATGTCCTTTAGGAGAAGGACAAGCACCAAATGATAACATACTAAGAACAGGTTCTGAAGTGTGTGTCACAAAAAGTAATGCAAGCAAGTAGCAGGTGCAAAGATGGCTTTGAATGACATGTTAGCCTGCTCTGGGTGTAATACTATAAAATACTATAAAGTATTTTACACCATGTAATTCATATATTCTTTTTCCTCAAATAGAACTAAAAGTTACGACCTCACAACAGTTTAGGCTCATTAAAGGGGGCATTACTACAGTCATATCCTTGTTCCTGTTGTTAGCAGTCTATTCCATCCCATCTTTGCGTGTGTGCTGCAGCTCATCTGATCTTGTGTGAGCCAGTTCAGGGAGCTAAAGAGGTAGCAAACTATGCGGGGGGAAAAAAGTGGATAACTTTTCAGCTGGTTTAGAACTATGAACCCTGAGTAAGATGAGAACCATTGCTGGACCAGCAGTGGGAGACATCAGCAGCTCTGATTTAACTTTAAGGTATTGTGGAAACCACAGCACAAAGTGTTGACAGACTTAAAATAACTAAATACTTCTAATAGAAGTATCAGAAGATAAATCTGTTGGTATCAAGAACTTTCAGACTCAACTTATCTGACATAAAAGTTGTAATGTGAGCAGATTCTAGTATGACAAGTTGTTGTTAAACTCAACAAAAAGCCTTTCAGTGTCTCAAGATTTTTGAGGTCAAACATGGAATTATTTAGCATAAAAAGCTACATGTGGAATTTGATCATAGTTCTTCAGACATTACCTTATTAACCTTTTGAATCTGAGATTACATTTTTGTGTATAAAAGCAACCTTCCTACTATTACTATTATTAGACACAATCAGCAGAATATCTGAAAGAGGTACTAGAGATACTGTTCTAATCACAGAAGGAGCATCATTCTTCCCTTGCTGTTCTTTTGCTTCACCATTATTCACGTGTTTCATATAGTTTCTGCTTTAGGGCAGGTCTGGGGCCAGAATATCTTTCTCTCCATTCCTGGTTAAAGCTAGAGGGAAGAAAGTTGCCTATAACTCAGACTGTAAGAAATAATGTTGTACCTGCTTGGCCTCCTGTACTATACATAATTTGCTTCTAGGCTTCACTCTTACCTTACAGGACTTCTTAAGGGCCACTTTAAATTCTAAGCTAAAGCTTCCCACTTTAAGACCAGCTCATGTAACGTGGGAGTATGAGTTACCACTATGGGGAGACATTTCTGATTCAATCATCAACTCCCATAAACCCACAGGCAAGAAGCAACATGGCTGTCTTGATACTGTTCCGGTTGTTCTTTCTTTGTCTTCCTCTGAGACAGTAGCCCTTTACATTGTGACGCTCAGACTATGTGATGGTTCAGGGCACTCGCTAGAGCAGCTGCAGGAGACCATGCATGAAAAACAAACTGTAAAGCAACTTTGACATTTTGTTACCAGAAAGACCATTCTACTTTTGGAACTTCTTAGAAAAAGCACCAGCATTGTGGCAGATACTAGCTGTTATATATCTGAAGAAAGCAGTGAGGAAAATACCTTGTCCCGAGCTTGAGTAAGTCTCTGTGTGTATCCCAGAACTCTTTTGTCATTTTTGTTCAACTATATATTAAAATAAAAACATCTTGATGAGAGGTCTGGTTGCTTGGACTGCTTTTTCCCCTAAGGGGAGAAGGAACTTCTTAAGGCTGACAGAGTGCCGGCTTTCCAGCACTCGCATCCTACTAGTGGTGGATATTGGATTGGCTATTGGATATAGAATCAGACTTTCTAGATTCTTGAGTTGACTTGACTACAAGGAAGTTCAGATATGGCTGCTAAGGAACACTTAGTGGCACTCCTTGTAGAACTTTGCCCCGGGCCTTGTTTTGTATGCTATAGGAAAACTGGAATGCTGTGATGTTAAGGATTGCATCTAGTACGTGTGCACCACTAAAAAGATTTGTCCGTGATTTCTGTAGCTTGCCGGAGATTAGAGATACTAGACTGCTTCAGCACCTGGCGTTCATTGAAAGTTTCCTCTTTAAAGATGACTTCTACAACTACAGTGATCTTAAAGTAGTCCAAGAATCAATCTCAAGGCAGCGACCTGTTAATACCTCAGCTTGGCTGACTTCAGCTTGCCATGCTGAGTGCATTTTGACAAGTTACCAAGGCAAGGAGAGTAAATACCTGTTTAGCATAAAAAGGTATGCGTGCAGCTTGACTGTCACAAATCTCTTAGGATGGTTTTGTTTTTTTCAGAGTCCTCTCTTGTAAATAAGTCCTTTTGACTATCTAGAATCATTCTTGGACTAATGTGAATTCAGCTAATGGAAGCTAAGTGTTGTAGAGGAAATAATCTTATGAGGAAGGATTGAAGAAAAGATGGTGTCTCTTAGAATGTGTGGAGATTTTTATTTGAAAGTTGTCAAATGAGTCTGTACTTGGTGAATTTGGGCAGACTGGCTGGCAAGCTTGCTTTTAGCCACAGAGGAAGGTGGCTAAAGCCACAGATTAATGAACAAATCTGGTGATTGTGACTGAATCCTTCATTATCTTCTATTTCTCTGTTCTGCCAAGATAATACTTTATTGGTGCTGAATGCAAGACTGGCCTCTGCTAGCCAGTTGCCTTGGAAGGCAGAGAATAAAAGGAGCTGTGAGCAGGAAAACCCTAGTCAATATGATCCTAATAGTATGAGGAGAAAGTTGCTTCCACAACAAATCACTTGATTTGGCCAGAATAAAAACTTTTGGTTTTTGCTTGAAGAAAGCTGTAGTACTTAAGTGGAAAAGACAGATATTCTGTGCACGTGCCTGAAATTATTTTTGCAGGTAAATGTATCCCTTACACTTTTTTCTAATACAACTTTTTTACTTAAAATCTAACTTGGATAAAGAAACGTGCTTCCTTGAGTCAGTTCTAAAACCTGTTTTCTGGTACTCTAGATGTTTTAAGAACTGTTAAAAGATATTTTAAAAAATAATGATGGTATAAGAGAGACTTTTCTTTACCTAGGAATAAACACAAATGTAAGCACAAATCAGTAGCTGCAGTAATTATATATGTTAGAGTAAGGTTTATAAAAGATGTGTTTATTTTGGTATAACCTTATGATTGTTAGTATCCTAAATTTTGACAGGTATAAGCATAGAATCTAAGTTTCAGTTTGGATGGACTCCCCTGATGTATGCTGCCAGCGTGGCTGATGTTGCAGTAGTGCGTCTTCTCCTGGACAGAGGAGCTAATGCAAGCTTTGAAATAGGTAAGATGTGAATGAAATTGGTGGTCAATAACTTTCAGTACCAGACATTGTCCTATCCCTATTCTCTGTTTACATATATAAGAAAAAAACAAGGTCCACAGTGGAACTGGGGCCTAGACTAGATTTCACATCCAAAATTGGAAAACATAAATAAAAATAATAATAGTAAGTAGCTTCTAGCCCTTGGAAACTCAGTAGGAGGGATTTTTTTGTGATGATATGAACACCATGATATACTCTGTTAGGTAATTTTAAAGTAAAAATTACGTTCTTGGAACTGCTGGATTTAGTTGATGTTTTTTCTTGGTCTCTCTCTCTGTCTGTCTCTCTTTTCCTGCCCCCCTACCCCCTCCTACCCCAAAGCTTTTTAAAAAACAGCATTTGGAAAAACTCGTTCAAGAATTATAGGATAAAGTTGTACAGCTGGAACATGAAGATTTAAAGGATAAAGTTGCAGAGTTAGTACTTCCTTAGTTTGTTCCTGTTAGGAAGTACGTACATGCAGGAACCAGCCAGAATCCCAAACTAGGATTGGTACCCACTCATGTTAAATACTTCAATATATGATAAAGATATGGGCTCATCCCAGAAGACTTCTACATCTGATCTAATCTAATTTAATCTTCTGATGGCCCCAGTGGACACTTCTCTTCCAGCTGCATTTGTGCCAGTTTATTGCTCTCCAGCCCCTCAACACTGGTCTTTCAAATATGCCAGCTGACCTGTTCATGTGGTTGCTCGTTTCAGACCACAGTAATAAAGATGTACTGGTTTTTAGGTTAATCTCTTTTTTTTTTTTTAATTGACTACACAAGAGTAGTTCAAAGGGCAGATCTGAAAGATGGTGACAAACAGTCGGAGTTCTCCTTTGGCTGTAGTTGAAGAAATAATTTGCCTATGGGAGTAGCTGTCCAGTTCATGATAAACTAATGTGGACTTTCTACAACAATTTTTTTATTAAGTGAAAACTCTTCTTCAGTGTGTTGCCTAGGCCACTTTTTTCTTTGCAAGGGTTTAACGTAACTTCTAAAGTAGTACATCTGATCACTTCCTCTGTTAACTTTTATGGCTTGTTAATAACTTTTTCCTACTTAAGCTGTGACTGTTTTTCCTTTCTTTTGTTGTGTTGGAAGATTTATCCAAGCTCAGGAAAAGACTTTGCAATGCAGAAGAAACTGATTTGACACACAATACTAAGTTCATAAAAACACTGATCTTCCAGTAACTTGCCAGTATTTTTAAAAGAAGTATAGATCGAAGAACAGATGGTACTAAAAAATTTCTTGAACTTCCTAGGAGCTGATCGGAGTTAGGAGATGAGGGTAGATTACCTGCACCAAAAGCAATCATGTCTTCAGATTGCTATCCTTGTAACCTACTTCAGAGAACTTTTGTGGCTTTCTGTAACTCATACTCGCTTACAAAATACCTTGTTTATGGCTGTAAAGAGCTACAAATCAGACAGGCTTCTGTGGGCAGCAGTCTCGACTGATCGATTAACCAGCACGTAGGGTATTTTTTTCAAAGTGTGACCATCAGTGTTTGCCCTAAGTGGCAGTTTGTTAGGATCAAGTTTCTCAGCTCGTTTCCCTTTTAGTGTGTGTAGGAAAACAATAATTAGGTCCTATTGGCAGTAGAATACGGATCAGCCAGGAACCGCCTTGCAAATCATTGGTCGATTTAGGTCAGGCCACATGCGTTCAGTAGTAGCTATGCCGTGCTCAGGTGGTACTAAAATCACTGATGTTTTGTATCAGCTGACAATCAATTAAGTTATCCTATACTAATAATTCTATAATACCTGCAATCCTAATAATGGCTCTACTAGTAATCATCTCTTATCACATTGCAATCATTCTTTGCAAGCTGGTTACTTAATTTTACCTTAACATTAAAATGAACTTTGGTAGTCCTGACGAACAAGGAACTAAGTGTAGCGTTGAACACGTGATGGGATCAGAATGCAGCATCTTTGAGATGCTCTAAAAAAAACCTCTAGGTTTTTTTTTGTTCATACTGAACATAAGCTAATTTTTTTTCAGTCCCCATCAATTTTTCTCCGCAAAAGAAGAGAGAAACCTGATTATTCTGAGGTGTTTCTTCCCCTTCTTTTCCCCACGTGTATGAGCTCTAGGTATGTTATACAGAAATTGGTTTCCCACTCTTTATCACCATCTGAAATACTGAATACAAATATAACTACAATTTCCTCCTAGATACCATTCCCAGACTAATAGAGCTTATCACTACCTTTTGTTTGAAGTCCTTCTGCCAGCTTTCAGTTCACATTATTGATAACCAGGTTAAACATTTTGAGTGAGAATCTGTCAGCCAGTGTATCAAATAGTTTACTAAAATGTTAATTGCTTACTGTTCAGGAGTTTAAGTGACTCTGTGAATTCATTTAATATATTGATTTGTGTGTGTGAGAACTTCTGCATGAGGTAGTTGAAAATTACAAGATGGTATGTAAAACCCAGCTGAAGTTAAACACAAAATGAGGGTCTTGGGTATTTGTTTAGGGACTGAAAGTGGTGAGACTTGAATATTGGGCTAAAGTACATCACTTCATCTTTAAAAACTTGTTCATTAAAACCTGACCTCAGCTGAGGAATAAAAGTGCTAGCACATACCCAGTCTTAAAATTTCTCCCAGAAAGTTAGAAAATAAGTTGTAATACTAAATGATATGCTCCAAAATATGTACAGTTAAAACAATATTTGTTAAAATTAATAAAGGCATGTTTGAACTGGTATGCAAGTTTGTGCAACAAGCCAAATGGGCAGTTATTCAAATGGCAGTCCTCTAACTGACTCTAGAGCCAAATAGCTCACTAGGGTCCTTGAGGTGTGATGTTTCCCACATCTCTCTAGGAGAACCGTGGGAAAGGAGATTCCCCCCGTTTTGTGGACAAACAGCTGCAGTGTGCCATTCTGGTTCATGACGAAAGGTGGCATGTAACACTCAGCTGGCTTCAGAGCTGGAGCAAATACACTGGTTCCTCCTGATGAGTCTTTTAAGTACTGTAGCTGTGGATTTAAAGAACATCTATAAATACATTCTTTTAATCCTCCTCCTGCCACTAGTGCACAATAGTAGACTAATTTAGTAGACTAGTTTAGTTTAGAACCGTAGTTGCTTCTCTTAAAGCCCTTTAGTAAAGCCTTGTTACTTGAACTCTGCATTGTATGGGCCTCCATTTTCTCTAAAACTGGTAGTGCTAGTGTGTGATAAATATATTTCATGCACTTTTTTTGTCTGTTGCAGTTAAGTTCCTCTAAGCTTTTTCTTTCCTTGACTATTTCCTTTTTTTGAGGGTGGGGGATGGGGAATGAATGTACTTGTATGAACCAAAACTTGACAAAACGAGCATCTAAAGTTAAGCTTCTACTGTTTTTTGGGGCAGCTAAGAAGCATCCTCATCTTCAGTAGGGACAGATGCTCCACCACTTCCATTTCCTCTTTCTGAGTATCGTCTGTTCTCAGATGCTTTTATCTGACCTGATAATTCTACCATTTCCCAAGAGTCTTAGTGTATCGAAACCTAACTAACTGAACTATAACAAGAGTAAAGGCTTTTAAAGGAAATTCTGCATCAGCATGATGTTTATGTATGCATTTCTCTAATTTTCAAAACAGATAAGTACACTGTGCTGATGGCAGCATGTACTGCACATGCTTCAGAGGAAAAAATTTTGAAGACTGTAGAACTACTTCTGTCAAGGAATGCTGACCCTAAACTTGCTTGCAGGTAAAATCTGTTAATACAGACTAAAATTTAATATTAATATACAGAGACATCCTTATAGTCATAACTTGTCACAGATGATGTATCTTCTGTAATCTTCATTAGTTTTTTGTAACTTCACTGTTGTCTGTATACAGGAGGAGGAGTGTGTGCTTCTTTATTTATTCTAGTTATTCGAGTAAGTAGTAGAGTATGATCAGTTTTGTCAAATTTAAGTATGTTCCCTGGCTGAACAAGATATAAATTGAGGAAAAAATTAATCTTACAATACCATTGGTTGACCATAGTATAAGTACAAAAAATACATCCTCTGCCTTTCCCAAATCACATTTCCTCTCCTGCATAAGGATATGGGGTAAGAGTTAATTCTTTGTTTAAATTCACTTCTTTTTGTTTGTTTTTTTTTGGGAGGGGAGAGGGGGTTCCCTAGGTATATTCCTCTGAGAGAGTCTCCTATGAAAAAGTAAATTCCTGTGTAAATAAAATACATTTCTTCCAGTCAAGCATGCTTTAATCTCCTTTTAAAAAACAAATAACAGCTTGTTTCTTGAACTACCGCTTCATGCCTCAGCAATCTGAGGCAGTACATTGTGAGCTATCTGTAGTTGCAGTCTGATGCAGTGTTTCATTTTACGTTAAAAAGTAAGTTCTGAATTGACCCAGGATAAACTGACTTCCTTCTACTGGGGGAAAAAAAAAAAAAAGGAAGATAATGTTCTAGTCAGCTTTGAGACTGCCTGTTTTGCACTTAACTGAAATTCATTTTTTTTATACCACTGCTCTTTTACCTCTTCACCACAGATTAAACTCTCATTACCTGAGGTATCTGGATTGTGTATCTCTTTTTAAAAAAAAAAAAAAAAAAAACAGAATTGAGAGGCCTCTTTATTTTCTTCAGTAGAGTTCAAATGTTTTGTTGGGCCCTGAACCTCATTGTAAGCATAGCATTGATAGGCAGGGAGGAAACATAATTATGCTAAAGTGTCACTGATGTGGGATATTTAAAAAAAAAAAAAAAAAAGCTATTCATTTTTATCAGATAGGCTAAAACCGTTCATGAAAGAAGGAAAGCTTCAAACTCTGAAATAATTGCCTATTATTGCTTCAGATAAGTGGGTGTTGCGTTAAACAATCTGCTGTATAAAATGGGGTAAATCTCTGCATCATTAAACTTTGTCCTGGGTGTTTGAAAATGTAAGCCAGAGTGCAAAGCTGCTAGTTTGCACATTAAAGGCCCTTGGCTAAGCTTTGAAAAAAGTTTGGATTGTGACACAAGAGATAGGAATTTTAAGGGCAAGACTTTATTTATAAAGTTAGTGTATGTTATGTGTAGTTGGTCTTATATACAAATATTTATTTGTTGCTTTTTTTTTGTTGCTATTTATGCTCTTTGCATCCTAAGACCTTGCGCTAACATATAAGTTATGCTTGTGTACATCAGATACTGTGTTCAGGTTTTTTTCACTTTTGGAAGAGTGAAATTTGAGAGTCTTTTCTCAAATAAAAAGACAATAATGTGACAATTTAGATTGGCACCAAACAAGAGTAAGAGGTTAGATAGCAAGGTCTGGATTTTTTAAAAATCTCTGTGCTGCCCTTTCTCCTTTCCAGTATGTGACATCTGTGCTTCCTGCTCCATCATTAGAACTACTTGTTCTAAAACAGTGAGAGGGAACCCACTAAACCTGCACCTTTGAGGATAAGGAATCAATACAGACCCGAGTGGTGCTCCAGTCCCACTTTGCCCATGCTAGTGTTGTTCTGCGTTTCCGTATTGTCCATAAGAGGACATCAAAACTGTCCATGAGTTGAGATTATTGTGGAATTCCTTCCTGTGTGATCAGCTTAAGGAATGTATTAAGAATTAAACATCACATTATTTGGTTGTCTCAGCACGTAAGAAACAGTATCCTTCTAGGAAGAGCATAGTTAAACTTGTCTTTTGTCCACCAGCAACTGAAATGTGTATGAATGCAAAGCTGAGTACTTACTTTGGTGTAGGACTCTTGATTTCACTTGATTTGGAGGTGATAAACTGAAACTTACTTTTTTTTTCTCAAGTTTTTTTTAGTTTTTTTCCCCCTCTGAGTCAGTCAGTGTTTGTGGGGTGGAAGTACTAGTGAGAAATCTCAAACTGATTTTTGAAGTGCGGTCTAAGAAGGACAACGTGTTTGGAAAAATAGAGTGCTGAGGAGAAGATCTCAACAAGAAGAGTAACTTTTGGTATTTTTACTGAATCAAAATCAGGAACTAAATGTCTGTAAAAACGATTTTGTCCAATGAGAAGGTAGCGTATCAAAGCATAAGTGTTAACTGAAGAGGTCTGAAAGACAAACAAGAAACAAGGTAATGACTAGGTAAAATGGGAAGGCATCGTAAGATGCTCTGTTAAGTCTTTGTAGAGCTACTTTACCATCCATGCTTTATTTAAGTGAATGCTGCCCTCAGTTGTGCTTGTCTTGCATCATTCACCTCGCTCCTGTTCCAAAATGTAATGGTATGTTGTATCCTTTTGTAAGGCCAGGAACAATTTAAGCAGTCTTTTTCTGAAAACTCTTTTTAACCTGCAGTGCTTTCTTGAAGGTACATTGGTTTAATAATGTTAAGCTGTTATTTCATTAGGGGGCAGAGGAAAAGGTATGACCGACTGATAACTAAATTACAAAACTACTGCTAGGGCTGCATTTAATGGAATGTTTAGTATACTTGGGTTTTGATGATGACATCCTCTAAGTTCTTGTTTACTTAAAGTAGTGTAAAAGAAACCTAATGGTTTTGCAGGTGAGGAGAGTATTTTGAGTTGATGATGCATGCCAGTAACTCTTTATTAGAAGAAGGTACAAGTAGGCAAATGAGTGAAACTTCCTATATTTTGAAATAAGCTCTTTATCTCTGGTTCTGTATGGGATATGTGTTGGGTTTTGTTTCTGTTTGTGTGGATTTTTTCTTCACCCTTGATTTCTAGTGCAATCAGGTCTCTCTCAGTAACCAAGCCTCCCCTTAGTGTTTCTGCTGTGAAACAGGTTATGAAATTGGTGTGTGTTTGAAGAAAAGTGTTTAGCAATTCTTCAGATTTTTTTAGGTGAATATTACAAAAACTAGACCTTTCTCTTTATAAAGATTTAAAGTTGAGATTGAAGCATGCTGTCATATATGTGAACACATACACATTAAAAATATGATCACTATTCAAGTGTGGTAATTCGTTTACCTAGGTATATTCATTTATGCTTACATTCAGAGTAATTTTGAGGAGGATCAAAAATGCTTTTACAATAAAAGTGTTAGTCTACTTTGCCCTCTTGAGAAGATGATAATGGAAGGGGGAAATGTTCGTCTTAATACTGCCCAGTTCAAAAGGTAGGTCTCTTTTGCAGGTTGCATAGTCAGAATAAAGCAATTGTGTAACACTTCAATTTTAGCACGATATTTATTGCTGCTGATAAGATAGTAAGTCTGCACTGCCACATAATAATTTCAAAGACCTTGACGTTATCATTGTGTGATAGTTAACTTGCCAAATGACAAATAGTATGTTTCAGTAAAGGTAAATAGCCTGGGAAAAGTTACTGCACTACAGTGCATTTTATAACAAGAAAATCAGGGTATTTAAATAAAGTTTAATACTGATTGAGTAAAGATCTTTGATCTACTTCAGAGGGGAAAAAAAAAAAGGTATCTTGTGATTTTACACATAACTCATTACTTTCTGAGAGTTTGTTATTCTAGCACTACGAACTCGGAACAGAAAGACATACTTTGTTATGTTGCTCAAATATCACCACAGAGGGACTAAATAAAAGAATTATACAGAGGGAAAATAAGCATATTTACCGAAGTACTGTGTGCAGATGGGCAATATCCGCAAGTCTTTTCCTTCCCCGTATCTACATTAGGAAAAAATCACAACAATCATAAACGTGTGATGAAAGGGGGAGAAGACTCAAAGAAAATCAGTTGTACCAATAAGTTTGGAAGGGTGACTTTTAAATGTAAAGGTTGAGGCTTTTTCATCAGCTATTATGGTTAGGGGAAGAGTCTAGAGTCAGAAATAAATGATTAGACCTTTCCCAGCTAGTATTGACTATACAGTGGGAACCTAATAGTGTTGACCGCAGGTTCTGGGCAGAGGTATAAAATACTCGGGGACAGTGCTAGCATTAGATGCTGTTTTTGACAGAAGTATTCTGACAAGAACAGTGTCCTCTGCCTTGGAGCGACCTTTGCATGAAACAAACACAAAACTGGTATTGGAGTCCATTAGCGTTATGCCAGCAACATTCAATCCCAAGTGTACTAAAATTATTATTTGTGCTACTAGCTTACCCTGCTCATGGCTTACTTGCGTAATACTTTATTTTTTTGACATAGACTTGTTCTTTCATCAGATAAGTGGAGTAGATTTCCCATGCACGTTCTGAATTTCTTGATTGGAGACTTCACCCTCACTTTGAAAGCAAAGTTGTAAACAATCTGAAGTTCCTGATCCTGTGTATAGCTCATTTGTTTTACTACTTTACATCAGAATATGCATGTCCTCTTTATCCCTAGCTAGACCAGCTTGCTTTGGGGGGGGGAAAAAAAAAAAAGTATGTTGGGCTGATGCAGTAGGAGGACAGAGAAGGATGACTGGAAATGGCATAGTGTAGAGTTCTGCCATGCCCTTTTTAAATTGTTATGCTTGTCCCTTTCTTATTCACTTCCTTCTCTGTGTTGTTTTTTGGTCATATGAAGATAACCCTGTAGTTGTCTACCTTTTCAGCGTCTGTATGCTGGAAAACTTATATAGGTATCTTGTAGACAGAGTTAAGAAGCAGAAGCGTATAAAACTGGCAGCCTGAAACAAAGCTTAAAACTAGAGATCCTGAAACTGTCTGCCACGTTTTCCAGCCCCACCTTATTAGAGCTGTAAGTTGCATTCTCCTGTCAAGTTCTGCTTCAAAAAGGCAGAAAACTCTCCTACCTTGCTCCAGCAGGTGGTGCTTAAGAAAAGTGTCTTGCAGCTCACAGTACACTCAAGTATGTCCTTCCAATTCTATTTCTTGTATATGGTTTCCTACCTTCCCTCTTAAAATCCCAGTAAGGCAGAAAAGGAGCAAGTATCTTTCCTCTAGTTGCTGTAGAAAGACTGTTGTTGTTTCCTTTCTCAGTTCCAAGCATAGTATACAGTGCAGGAGTGATGAAACTGGTTCCAAGAACTTCTGACAATGCTTCCAGGTTATCTGAAGCAGTATTCAGTTTGCAGATCAACAGACTAAAAGATTAGTGTGTCTTGTAGCATCATTTCCTTGCTTTGTGATCTCAAGAAGAAAAGATTGAGGGAAAAACATTAAATTCATAAGCATATCTACTGTATTTTTCTTCTGATGTCAGTGGTATACTGATCTAGTTAATAAATATCCATCCGGTTATGAAACTTTAAATATAGCCTACACTTCTCGATCACCAGGCTGAAATACTGAATTTTCCATAGAAATCTTGCCAATGGGAGGAAACCTGTGTATAAAGGAAGGCATCTTCTGTTTGCCTTTGTTCCCCTTCCCCCCCATTCCAAAATCTTGTAGGAAGACAGACCTTTTCTTGCTGAAGAGAGTAACCCAAGAATAGGTATTTGTCAGGAGTGGTGAATTCTGCCTCATGAATTAGACTTAGTAATATAGTCAGGTACTCAGAACACTTTTCAGTGAGATAACTATATCACTGTATTACCTGTTTTTATCATGGCACAGGGTTATCCAAGCTGGGGTGCTCCAAGTGATGATAGCTTTCAAGACTATTCAACTCTACTTGTTCTCTTACAATTACGTTTTTCTCCATTATTTACATCACCCAGGAAGTGGGTGTGTGAGAAAGTCTCTTTGTATAGATGTATGGTCCTGAGAACTGAAAAGCCCTCTGGTTTTGTTTTTTTTTCCAGACTTAACATAAAAACAGGGAGACTAAAAGATGAAGAGTGAGACCATGCAGATTCCTTGTTTTTGCTAGTAGCAAATGCAGTTAGAGCAAACATCATGCTTAAATGATGTTGATAAGTTGCTTAAGTCTTTTAAGATTTGTATTTGTTTTACATTGAGTATCGCTTGAGTATCGTGTTCAATATGAGCAAATACGATGTTGCAAATTGTGCCATAAAAAAGGGGTTTTCAGGTGTTTGGAAAAATACCATGCCAGCTTACTGAAACTGGAGCGTCTACAAGATTCTTCAAAACGATCAAAGGATTGTTCAGGTGAAATGTTAATACAGTCTTTTATTTAGATAGTTATCACTATACTTGCTATGTACATTTTTTTTAGACTGCAGTAAAACTTGTGCCGATGCATTTAAATCCTCTTCAGCTTTAGCAAGAAATAGTGGATTTGGCATCTTAAAGCTTGCTGTCTTATTTGAGGGGGTATTTTGCAGGGTTAGGAAAACAAGATTTGTTTTTCCTAATGCTCTAGTCTCCCTCTTGTGGACATACATGTAGCTGACCTTGCTTTCTGCGGTGGTGGTTATGCAGCATGTCTTAGGCATGAAATAGTACCCATTCATATCTATGGCTGCGTAAACGCAATTTAATCACATTTCGTGCTCCAAAACAGTAGTGTACTCAGTTAGCTGTGTTGTCAGACCAGATTTCTCAGAGCTTTACTCAGTCTGGTCTTCTGTCTGGTGGAGGCAAACCTTCAAGGATGGAGACTACGCAACTTCCTTGGGCTATCTTTTTCACTGCTTGACTGTCCCCTGCGGTGAAAAAGTTGCTCCTCAAAAGTTTAATTCCCAACTGAATGTGAAGTGTTGATAGAATAAGTTGAATTAGTTTTAGATTGATGCAAGTCCGTTTTCATTACGTTACCAAAATCCTTTCTCTTTCTGAGCGTATGTCTTGGCAAGGCCTACTTAGCTTTCATTTTGCTTACCTGTAAGTTACTGACTTTTTTCCCTCTTATAGGATTCTTTCTGGAATTTTTTTCAGTTGGACTCTTAACTGTGTTTGCATGAGATGAAACATTGTCTCTACAGACCTGTTGTGAAAGAGAAATAGCAAAGAAAGATGAGCAAGGCCTTAGTTCTAGCAATACTCTGGAGAGAAGCAAAAGTCAGTAGTTTCAGGAAAGCTGCTTTCCTTTACGTATGTTTTTCAGGGCCCCTCTAGGGGTCGCTATTGAACTCATTAAGCAGCGCAGTATTGGAAAAACCTTCCTCCCCTCAAACTGCTTCTTACTAAAATAGAATAATCTTTTGCCAGCAGATTTTTGTCACAGAGCTATACGTTACAAACGATACACGATATTTTTGCTGTAAAAAATGCATTTTAAGATGTAATAAATTTAATTGAACACCAGTAGTGAAATATCTTCGCTCAGAACTGTTTACTTTATAGCAATCAGAAACTAGATCTCTTTCTCCTCCAATACTACATATTTTCAATTCTATGCTATAATGTTTTCCTCCAAAAAATAAGTGTGCCAGAGACCTTGAGAGATATTTTTCTAAAACAGAAGCTTTTGAGCAATTCTTTTTTGCTTTGAAAATCTCCAGATGAATTCAGAATCACTTCATCTTATTAGCTTCTCAAAAGAAGCACATGTGCCTCTGTTCAGATCAATAGACTGCTTTTATAATGCTTTTGGAGGTATAAAAAATAGAACAGTGGAAAGGGTGGTGTCTGTAAGCGCTCACTTCTTTAGCAATCGCAAGTAATAGCGGTATGTAGGAGAGAAAGCCTCAAAACAAACAGTTCTGGGAATGGAAAACAAAGAACAGGATAAAGGACAAAAATATTTTGATGTGCTTTTTGTTTTAGTATTTGAGAACTTAAGGTTTTAGTATCACATTTTTAGGTAAACCTCTGAAAACTCCAAGGTACACACAGAAGGACTCTGAACATTAGTAATACTTCCACGCTCTGCAATATAGCTTTGTGCACTGACAAGAGTGGTATAACCTGTGATTTTTTTTGCGTATACTGTTTTTACCAGAGAGGGTTAGGCAAATATATACATAGTTCTTAGTTTTTAAATATTCAATTTAATTTAACAACTTGCCCTCCACAAAACTTCAGTATTTCTTCTCAGAATTATCATTTTAAATTAATCTGTATGTAAAACTTATCACTTAAATTGCGTTCTCTAAAAATAATTTTTGAAGTAAAATATAAAAGTCACTGCCACTTTTTTGGAATGAATACCAATTGAAAAAAAAAACGTATGGACCATTTACTGATATTCTCTGCTTTCAGTAGAGTAGAGTGTAAACTGTCATCTACAACTATACTCATTCCTTTCTCATTAAGCTTCTCTAGGTACTAAATGAGAAGTCTGCCACTGGGTCTGTGGTAGCAGCAGGAGAGGGGAGAGGAGAAAAAACAGTCTTTATAAACTGGTTTCATGTAGTTCAGAACCAGAACAGACGCGTTTTAGTCACCAAGTTACTGTACATTTCACAGCTGGGAATTGTTAAGGTTGTTTGTGTTTTAATGCACTGCTTGGATTTGGAGTTGATAAAACGCTGATATATTCTTTAACGTTTTTTGGAGACGTACTATAAGCCTATATTGTAAACTTCTGAAAGAGACTTGCTTAGTCTCCCCTATTTCCTACTCATCAAGGGAGAAATTAACTTTTGACTTTGTTTCAATCAGAGAATAAATACCAACTCTTAAAACATTTTAAAATTGCTATTTGGAAATAAATGAGTTGTTGAATCTGAAAGTTCTGTTAAATTGATGCGTTGAAGTGTGAATATCGCATCTTGGGCTTTCATTCTCTGCTTTATTGTGTGGAACAGAAAATCTTCAATACTGGAGTTCTGATTATGCAGTCAGATTTTAACAACTTGAAATCAATTTTTTTGTATATATTTTTTTCCCTTCTTTCTTTTCAGGAGACAAATGACTCCACTGATGTATGCAGCTAGAAAAGGCTATCCTCAGGTTGTTGCTCTTCTTGTTGCTCATGGATCACACATAAATGCTCAAGATGAAAATGGATATTCAGTAAGTGATTTAGTTCTGTACCTCGTACTAATGATGACATTTTTAAAAAGCAGGAACCCATAAACTTAAGTATACTTCAGTAACAAAAATACCCCCAAATACTCACTTGTTATACTCTTCTGCTTTACACCACCTTCCTAGATTGTTTTACACTATTTGTCTCTGATTCCAAAATCTGCCACATCAGAAAATTTTAAAAGTTGTATTATTGATTGAACCTCTTTTCTTTTTTGCTCCATATGTACCTAATCTCGCATGATTTGCCTGTCCTGAGGACTTAACTGTATGTTGATTAACTGTGTGTGGAATAGGATGAGCCCTGCATTCTGAAAGCTGCTTAATATGGAGCGTCACACTTACACTGGCTACTTATTTCCCAGATTCAGCACTGTGGTCATGCACTTAAAACAGCCTCTGTACTTAAGTAGCGTTGTAAAGAAAGATAGTCTTAATTTGTGTAAAAGCCTACAATCTGTTAAGTGGACTTGTAGGCATAGTGGCATAGTATGTGAAAAAGGTCTCTTTACAGTGTATGTAAAGAAAATGAATTAAATCTGATTGGTGTATCTATCATTTATACTTAAAGCTTGCGATCTAACTTTGAATTGAAAGTCTTAAGGCACCTGAAGCTTTACTGTGACTGTTTTCTCTCATGTCTACTTAAGAGTGTCTAGTGGAGTGTAACATGAGGGGTAATAGTATTCCTTTGACTTACAATTTGTGGAGCTATTCTTAATGTGTACCCTGCTGCATGAACTACTTTTTTTCCCCTCAAGAAGTTATGGTGCTTTTTTTCAAATATGTCTGGTTTCACTTGATAAAACGAAGGTGTTCTTGTGCAGGCATTAACATGGGCAGCACGCCATGGACATAAAAATGTAATTTTTAAGTTGCTTGAGCTTGGAGCTGACAAAAATCTACAGACTAAGGATGAGAAAACAGCAGCAGACCTGGCAAAAATCAATAAACATTCAGAGGTATTTGTTTTCCTCTTTGAAATACAAATTCTGTGTTTTGCCTCAAATCTCTGTTCTATGAATTCCGTTACTTCCTGTAGAGGTATTTTTGAAATAACTGAATTCTATCAGCTGGTTGAATACATATGCTAATACGTTTTTGTAGACTGTTTTCTGTTACACCCTGAATTTTCATGGTGCCTTAAATGTTATATAGTAATGTTTTTGTGGGAACCTTTTTTTCAGAATTCTTGACTTTAGATTTGCAATACATAGCAAGAGATTATTCATATTAATAATTCTGATAGAAGAGAGAGTAAAATACCTGGGCAGACAGGAAGAAGACCCACTTTATGTGAGAGAACTCAAATATCAAAGTAAATTGTAATGTGAAACTTCTAATTGAATTTGCAAGTGAAAAGGTTGAAAACAAAGATGTGTGTAGGTTTGGGGGTATGTACTGGCCATCTTCAGAATTGGTGCTCAGGCGGGAAGACAGTCTAAGCAAAGGTAAATTGGTCAAAAAATCATTGCAAGTGCAGCCATTAATTATTGATGCAAAGAGAATGCTACTGAAGACAACATATATTCTCCTAACATAGTTCTGTAGCAGTAGTTCAGTAGTTCGTTTACCAGATGATGAGTAGTGGATCAGTCAAACCAGATTTCTGTGTATTTTGTCTTGAGTTGTTCTTACCAATGATGTGGCTTTTTGCAATGGCGGATGGCTAGAGTCAGCATCATGGAATATCAGTTCCACTTGGAACTTAGGGCTTGTTCTTTAAAAGTGTGTCATTCAGTTTAGTGAGTTGTGGCATAATTGTTTGCTGATGGACTCCAGAGGACTAGGCAGGAACAAAACTGGTAACTATGCACAAAGCTGTAGGCTAGCAGCATCAGCATCTGAGGCTTAGTGATCTGTCAAGTCAGGTTACTGAAAGGAGCTACAAATTCTTTCTGCATTTAATATAGTACAAATTAGTTCAGCAGGCTATTGCCATATAGTTGTAGAACAGGACTCTCCCTGAAGTGTGAAGAGCCTGCGTTACCTCCGAGTAAGAAATGAATCGTGACTCTTTCTTTGCCTCTTGACCTGTGATACGCTAACTTTCACAGTTAACTGCAAAGTCGTACAGGTGGCACTGAGGTACATAACGTTCATGAGCTTCTTCCAGCTTGGGAGTCTGCTCTTTGGACTCTTGGCAGCCCCTTGGGTTGTCATAAAGACTATGGCTACAGAAACTACATCTTTGAGAGGAGATTTTTTTTCTCACGTGTGTGTGTGTGTGTATGTGTGTGTATACACACATATGGGTCCATATATGCATTGGAAATGCAAACATGTTAAAATGGCTACCTGATGCTCTTTAGAAAACTTACTCCCTTGAGTGTGTAGAACTCCTGTCTATAAACCACAAAAATGGTCATATTGTTGGTGTATTGTTGCTTCTCAAATGACAGATGCTAACTTTTTTAGACTGCGCTACGTATTCTGTTTTGCTCCGTGCTCGTTTATCACTGTGCTGGAATCTGGTTAATTCAGAAATTCTCTTGATGAACTCTGTGAGCATATTCTTCACTCCTCGTTGTAGATGTTTGCCTTGGAGGAGAAGAAATGGCATATGTTCGTGTTCCTTGTGTGTAATAATTAGTGATAGAACTCTTTGTAAAATCTTACTCCAGTGCAATTTTTTATGCATAATTTGTTTTAGAGTTGAATAATAATTGATTCATTTTGACTTTTTTCAGATTTATAGTTTACTTTCTTTGACTGCACATCACTTGCAAGGGAGATACCATGAAATGATTAAGACAGAGGCTATCTACAAATTTTTGACAACTGTCCCTGACCACAGAGTTGGGTAAATACAGTCATAGTGTAATTTTAGATCATAAATATTGCTAAGAAGTTGCATTTGTTGATAACATGATTAAGTCTTACTGATACATATTTTTTATTGTATGGAGTGCTACCAAGAGTCCACAGTGAGTATATTAATGTGCTGTCATTTAAGACCACAGAGTTCCTTTACATTATGCGTAGAGCATGTTCTGTACCTTTCCTTCCTCTCACTTGGTGTGAAGTATAATGGAGGCAAGGGCCGCCATAGCTTCAGTGTTAAGTCTGTTATGCTTTCCTGCTTGAATGCTCCTTGTTATGTGGTTAGTGTCATTTGATGTTAAATTTTTGATGCCATCCCTGAATGCCTGTTTTCAACTTCATGCTGCCAGAAAGAGCTATGTCCCATTCTTCACAATTCTGTCCCATTCAGCTACTTATATTGCCTTGAAGAGGGCCATACACCTGAGACAGTTTGTGTTCAGTATGAACAGGAGTTAAGCTCCAGAAGCTTCTGTGTAAACATGCCTCTGGCTCTGAAGCTTGCAGGTGTCCTATGCCTGGACTCAGCCCCTGCTTCAGCAATTCTGAAGATCTCTGATGTGGTTTTAACTCAAAATATACTGGCTAAGATGTCAACAACAAACCATCCACTTTCTTCCTTGAGCTGAATTGTCCCGAGAAAGCAACTTTCAGGGCCTGTAATTATTGTATAGTCTGTTCTGATTAGACTGTGGTGATTCTCTGTCACTGCTCAGTCTAGTTAAGCTTAAGTAGAAGTGCCACAGTGTTATATCGTTATGCTGATGCCGCATCACTACGTAGCAGTTCAGACTACCTCAGTGCGGCCAGGCTATGTCATTAATGAATGAACACATCAGTCAGGTTTTTATCCTGCAGTGCTTCATCCATGATCATCTTGGAGGTACTTCCTGGAGCTGAATGGTGAAGGCTTGACTTGTCCACTATCTCTGCTGTCCTCTTTGTTCTGGTATCTTATTACTTATAGGTTGCTGAAGGAGTTGTTCTGGGCATGTCTTCCTGTCCGTGAACCAGTTCTGTGGGATCTCCTTGGGGACCCCAAGGAGTCTTCTTGTTAGGGATCATCTTTTGAATCTCTGGATGCTTGCCATAAAGATGACGTTCCTTTTCACTATTCAGCCAGCCCATGTATAGTACTTGATGCTTTTGTTTATTTATTCCTCCCTGAGGTATCACTTGACTCTTTTTAAACAGATCATCTACTTTTAATGACCTTTTAATAGGTCATCTACTATTCTTCACAAAGATTCATACTTCTAGATAGACTCTGAACTTTGTGACCTCAGTGCTAGGAGGGATCTCTCACTTCTAGTGGATTTAGGTTATAGAGGAAGTTTCCCAGACTTTCTGGTATAAGAAGACACAATAACACCATGTAGCAGTTATCCAAATAGATTTTGTTGCTGACCCATAGAAACCGGGCAGTGGCTAGAGGACATTCTACCAGTGTCTGGGTAATCCTGATAAGCTTTTAAAATAAGACACTGAAGTCCGTAAGCCTACTTGTGATACTTTGTGACAGCCAGATGTCTAACTATGCATGTAATGTTGTATTAGGCAATTCTTGTGCTTCCATGATTTCAGCGTGCCCGGTGCTCTTTTTTAAACTCTACCAGTTTCATCTACATCAGATGAGTAGCCCATTTGTCTTTATCAACAGATGTTTTCTGGCAAGTTCAAGGATTTCTCATAAACAGTAGCCAGTTCTGTTATTTCATAATTTTCATCATTTCTGATAATTAGTAGAAATCTCGGTTTCAAAAGACAGTCTCCTGGAGTATGCCAGACATCTGTCTGTTCAGCATCTAATACAAATACAGCTTACCAATTTCTCTTCCCTCGCTACGCTCCCCAGTTAGTTGTTTCTTTCATCCAGTGACAGTCAAGAGGTACATTGATATCTGCATTTACTTCATTGTAGTTCTGTGAAATGAATCTTCTCCTTGCCCATTTCCTGCATGTCTGTGCGTTGGAGGAAGAGAAACTGGGGACAAGATAACAATTATACACAAATTCATGATGGGGACTTTACATTCCTTTTTATATTCTACCTGCTGAAAAGTGCAACTTCTATGCTGTGATGAATATACAGTGTGTTAATTCCTTTTTATGTGATTTAGGATGCCCATGATTGTAAAAGGGTTAAGTGTACTTAAATACTAGAAATCCTGGAATGCAAGATTCTAAACGTGCAAACCTGAAATCTTTTCTTATATATTAAGAACAATTTTCAAAGAGTATTTTTAATAACTTTTAGCTGTAGGAGCTCTTTAAGCCTTTAAGAAAGGGACAAACTGTAAGTTTAAGGGCCCACAGCAAGATGGAGCAAACTGTCTCTTAACTCAGGCTTTTGGCAAGGGATCAGCGTAGCACTTGCAGTAGTCCTTTCTACGTTTTGTATGGTTTACTTTTTAGTTCATTACAGTTGTTCTGGCTGTTGAAAGCTGTTTAGATATTTTTCTTTGTATTTTTATATCTTTTAGTAGGGCTGGTATTCAAGATTGATTTTTACTTTTGTTTATAAACCTTAAAAATCTGTGACCCTACAAGGGATTATGCTGATTCACCAGTTTAACATCTGAAGAGTAGTCTTCTGGCAACAAACTCTTACCGAACTAATTTCCTCTGTTTTTAATTCAAGATATTCCAGTTTTCTGGGATTGGGGGGTGGGAGGGAGTTAAATGGAACTGGAAAAGTAATAGTTATAGGCTGAACCCAAATTATATGAAGGGTACGTGGTGACAAGGTACATAGTTCTCTCCCTTATCCCCATTCCCAAATTTTCAGGCTTTTGTGACTAATTTCAAGGTTTGATTGAAACTTTTTGCTACTAAAAGTGACATTGATATATTAAATTTTAATTTTAATATTAAATATTTTATTTCTGTTAGGGTCACAATAGCTAGCTGTAAAATTTGACAGATTAAACTATACCCTGTGATGCTTATGTGATACTGCTGTCATTGGTGGGTGTGTAAAACTTTAGGTCTAGCAGTGCTTTGTCTGGGAATTTGTGTGTAGCATTTTACTCATACGTATGTATGTTTTGTAGCTGTTATAGATATCTCTTTTTAATTTCCACCGTTTTCACCTTGAATCTCATTAAATGTGTTTACAGTTCCTATTCAGCTTTTGATGACATGGAAGTGTTTTTACATGGTCTTGGTCTAGAACACATAATAGGATTATTAAAGGTAAGATTGTGATGCATGTGCCATCTGGAAATTAATTAGTAAAAGTGAATGCATCTAAAATGTCAATAAAACTTGTATTATTATGAATATGTTAAATGAAAATTATATTTGAAATGTTAATGCATGGTAATGTTTCACTGGACTCGATTGGTCAATTTTGGCTGTGTGCATTAGTCACGACATGTAATGTTTCTATGCTAGAGAACTTTTTCATTAGTTCAGTAATGGTATTGTGTAGCTATTTTTATTTCTTTTTCACTTAGTGTTTTCTTTTGAAACTTTTTGATGATAGAAAACCTTTTATTTTGTACAGGAAAGAGATATAGCTTTAAGACAACTTTTGGTCATGAAAAAAGATGAGCTAATACAGGTCAGTTTCTACTGCTTTATTTTTTTTCCCCACATCTTTCTTAAGTAGTTTAATATCTTAACTTTTCTTCTCTTTATAAATGTTTAACCTTGTAAGAATTCTTTTGAAGATCTGTTTTCAGAATCTGTTGCTATTTCTTGAATTTTCATCTAAAATAGACAGACCTTTTCTAAAGTATGTAATTCCGCAGATCAGTGTTAAATTCTAGGAGTTGAGTTGTTACATCCTCCGTACATAGATGTGACTATGAAGTGGTGGTTCCCACTATTTTTTTTTCTGTAATGATGTGGGAATTGGGACGAGCAGGAAATATTTCAGCTTAAATTTTAAGTGTTACTATTTTTAGTTAGTAAGTATGTTTTCCCTGAAAGGAAATCATTGCTAGGATTAGCAGCACATAATCCTAAATAACCATTTTAAATGCAGTCCTCTTTGTGAGGTGCTACTTTCTGTTTTTTGAAAAACTAGTAGCTCTTTTATATTGTGGAATCTCATATCCCACACAGGTCTGTAAAACATTACCAAAGAAGAGGAAAAGACAAGAAGATTTGGTTTCTTGTAGTTTACTGAAGTTAGGAAACTTGGTATTTCACTGTGATCGAGGGGTGAATAATATATTGTTATAAGGTTTTAGTTTCCAGTTGAGATAGGATGGTTGCTTTTCCTTAGGCTGTTTGCTGAAATTATTCTTCTGCAAAATGAAAGACTTCCTACAAAAAGTTTCCGCTTAAAGGGAGATGCCATAATAATATATTACCACAGAAGTCTTCTTGAAACAGTCTAAATAGCAGAGGTTGCAGAGTTCTTCTGAATGCTTTGTACCTGGCCTGGAATACCAAAGAGCCCTGGTTAAATTAGCTGCTTCAGGCTTGCTCCCTGGTACTAATGCTAACCATATCCTCAGTGACAGCTTTTTTCCTTTACTTTGGTTTGGATACCTTGTTATCTTCTGGGACAGTGCCAAAAAATACAGGGTACTAAGGAGGTACGTGTTCTAGCAGCTGGAATCAACATTTATCTACATATGTTAACGTACCTTCAAGCTGGTGTCAAAAGGATTTGCCTTGCAGCTGAGTGGAGTTGGTGTTTTCAGTGTTTTGACAGAGCTCGGAAATACTTCTCTAGTCTCAGTGGGTACATATATAGGGAGCTTTGTATACCAAGAGCAGATTTCAAGAGTTCACCTAGACTAGGTATATCAGTGCGTTATGTTATGGCAATGTTTCCAGAGCCTCAATATCCCATGCATTTTACAGCATCCAGTTGTGGGCTTGATTTGAATCGCTAAAGCTTCCATGGACAAGGACCTCACACTTAAAAGGAGATTTTTATATTTTTCTTCTCATGACTATATGAGCTGGCTTTTCCCTCTTGCGCACACGCTCTTTCTTTCATACATGTGCTTTCTCTTTCATTGAACTGCAAATCTAATTGAGTGTATGTTCATTTCAGTCTCTTGCTGGGAAGTAGTAGTCATTTCTTTCTGTTTATGTGTAGGGGATGGGGGAATTGTGGACTTCAGTGAGCTAAGCCTTACATTTCCCTCACTGAAGAGGCATAATAATCTTCACACAAACTGGTAATTTGTATTTCTATGCTCAAACATGTTTGAGGCTTGCTGTTATTATGAGGACTTTGTTGAACAAACAGATAAATACCTGGGTCGGCTGCTCTTGCACGAAAAAAACGTATTTGTAGGAACAGAATTCTTTTTCCGCTTGTCTCTTCAACAGCAGAAAGCTATTCCCAGAAAATAAGTTTTGTATTGTGCATGGACATAAATTAATTAGTGAGTCTTTAATTGAGAATTTAAAAAACGATATAACATTCCTGATTTATTAGCAGTTCATAAGTTATCCTAAATTCTTGATGCAGTATGCTAATAAAGAATAGTTATATTTTTATTTTCACTCTGATTTTAGAGCTCTATTAAGAGTTTCTCCCACGCTGCTGATGGAACAACAAATCTAATCTGCTTCCTTGTAACTCCAGAGTTAAGTCTTGTGTGATGGCAGATCTTCCACTAACAGCCAGCTCTTTTAAAGAGTCTGGATCTTATTACTGTAGAGATTAACGATGACCTCTCATGGATGCCTCTGAACCATGCTGCTTTGTATCCGAAAGAATTGGAAAGAAATCCTGTCACTAACATGAGACAGTTTCTTCCATCAAAGAATATCAGAAAGATATTTCCTCTGTAAATATCTTTATCTGTGTTCTAGAACAGAGCTTAAACAATGACTGTCAAGCTGGAATCCTTGCATTCCTTAAACTTATAAAATGTTCCATCCTCAGAAAAGTCCATTCAGTTCTTGGAGGTTTTTGTCTGATTCATTGCTATTCCTGACACTTTTTTTTTTTTGTGTCATTTTTTTTGTCTCTCAAGCCAGTGGCAGAAGTAATTGTACTTCCTGATGCATTTAGGACTTAAAATGTTCCTTCCTCTTATGTGTGTCAGTTTAGAAGAAGAGAAATTATTATCCTGTTCTGGACTTGAGAGTGCATAATTAAAATATGACACACAAAAATTCAAAACATATTCCAAGAATTTGGAGTTTTATTTGGTCTGTGTGCTTGCATGCCAGGACTGTCCTTCCTCTGCCTCTCTTCCCAGCCCTTCCCCCTTCTTACCCCCACCAGAAAGTATTTAGGATTTGTCAGAAAAATGTTAAATTATTAAAAACAATGGCGACTTGGGCAAGATGACAAGGATTTAAGTGTTTATGCATAATCTGGCTGATTTTATCTGAGAAGTATGCTGTCTTTCATGCGTTCAGGCAATCTGTTATTTACCTCGTCTTTCCTTTCCATCTAAAGGTCAACAGACAAGTCGCAGTATCAATTTGGGTGTGGGTTTGGGGGGGCTTTTTAATTTGTATTTAAGTAAAGAATAAAATAGATATTGTTAGAGCATATGTGCATGAAGTCAAAATCTATATTGTGCACTGTTTTAGAGATATAAGTAAGTCCTTGTACAACACTGAAGACTTTCTTGTACTTTGAACATATGGTCACTTCAAGGTCATACTTCAACTGTTTGAGCTGCAGATTGTACTTCAGATGACACCACCTTGAAAGCTTGCTTATCCATAAGGAAACAGGGCTTGCACTATGCTCATTCGATGAATTCATCATAGCATGAACTGTTGGATTCTGGATAATGTTTATGTTCAACATTAATGGTCAGGAAAGGGGGGAAAAAAGTCTCTGTTTTGGGAAGTGGCTTGAACTGGCATATCCGCTTACTATCTCTCACTTCTGCACCTAATACCTCTAGATTCAGAAAATGCTGAAAAATGGTGATAGGAAACTTCATCTATAATGAGTTTTATCAAGTTCTCTACTTCATAAACCATACTTTCAGGATGTGGTGGTGCTTAGTCATTGTTGATCCATTTGTAAAACAATGAAGTTATGTTTGATTCATAGGGAAATAAAGTGTAGTATATTCCTGAAGTGCTGATCAGAAAGCTCCATTCTGATTTGCTTGTTCGAGGAATGAGAAGGTTGAGTTGAAAGCAATTCCCATCATCGTAATAGTTTCTACTTTAAGCAATATAGTTATAATGCTCAAGAATAACTGCTGTTTCCAGGTTTTGCTTTTGCATGGAGAAGCTTCATCAGGATTGCTAACCACAGAAAACTGTGTTGCACAGCAGCCTGTCTGATTAGCAAGGAAATGTATTGAATGTGTCACAGAAGCACTTCCCTTTTATCAAATGGACTGTTTTTTTTTTTTAATGTAATGTGTTCTGCAAGAAAGCTCTTGACCTTCTAGAATTTAAATATGAGTTAAATTCTAATCTGTGGTAGTTATGAATAATGCAGCTAACAACACTTTCTGTACTGGCATCCCTCAGAGAACATCAGTTACATAGCGTATATCCTCAGAAAAGAGTTAGGCTTTTATTTAATTGGGGGAAAAAAAAAAAGTTGTACGCTTCACAGCTTTTCCATTATGGTTTGTAGCATTCACCAAGAGTTTGGAAGGTCAATTGATTAGAACTCAGGGACTGTACAAGCAGATGTAACGTGTTTAGGCTTATAATACTTGGTCCTAATTTGAAGCAAAAAATATCTATCCTGATTTTGTGTGCTGTTCTTCAGATATATAAGAAGGCTGCTTTGCAGGATGCTTCACTGTAGAAACACCATGTTGACTGTGGGTTTTTTGCTGTTGGGATTGTTTTTAGGGACAATATTTTTGGTTTGGGGGGAGGTTATTTGTTTACAAGATCATGCTTTGTCTATTACTAGTATCTGATCATTCAGAATTTGGAGATAGAGTGGACAAACTGGATTTCTTTGTATAAGTAACTTATTTTTATAATTAGGTTCTTGAAGAAAATAAGTAAGACTTTTAGAAAGAGGTATAGTATCTTAGAGACCCGCTTCCATAACTGGGAAAAATGCACAAAAACTTGTGAAAGCCCTTCTTAAAATCTGGCCTCTTTCTATAAAAAGCTACATGTAATGCTGGCTTGATGGCTTGCGTTCTTTCCTTCTGGGATAATGTTGCATCACCAACATGATAATAGGTTATTTTGCTATAAGAGATGCCTTAGATGACTCTGGAATAGCAAACCTATCTATTTAAGGTTTATTTAAAAAAAAAAACTAATAGTTTTTACAAATACCCTTCTGTTGATAGTGTTATGCCCATCTGAGCATCCTGTGCAATTTCAGTTTGGCTCTTCTTTAATTCATTCAATTCATGAGTTATTAATTTCGTTGATTTTTGTTGTGCGTCACCAAATAGTTTCTATTTTTTTCCCCTCTTTGGAAGTTACGTACATTGTAGCTGGCTGCAGTAACTTAAAAGCAGCTTCCTTTGACCAGTTTGTCTATTAATAATTAGAAACTCACACAGTAAATGGTACTACACTGTTTTATGTGTAAATAACTGTTAAAAAGAAATAATGTATTTGACATGGCTCTTTAAATTTAGATTGGCATTACAGATCCCAGAGACCAGCAGAAACTCCTGGATGCTATTAATGAGCTACAAGTTGAAGAAATAAGAATTAGAGACCTCCCTGAAGTGATGAAGCTGGAATTCAGGTAATGGTTCATATTTTACTTAAAATACGGTTATTTAAGATGACTACAATGTTTTCTATAGCACAAGGATAAGGCTGTCTGACACCTTATCCTATGTAAAAGCATTCATGAGACTCTGCCAACTAACAGGTTCTGAAGGCTAGTGGTAGGTACATTTTGGACAAAGAAAGTTGGAAACAGTTTACTATTGTAGGATCTGTTTATGGGTTATATAGCTGTAATATGCCATTACTTTGGCCGTCACTGAGTGAATGATTTTTTTCTTTGCCGCTCAAGCAGGGTTTCATGGCCTTGCTGTGCAGGGTTCTGTTTATACCATATAAACTCTGAAATTGACCTTCTTTTGGTTGCAGTACTAATTCATTCTTTGTTCAATGAACCTTGTCAGAGAAATCAATTTTTTTCTTCTCTGTGGAAGTGGAGTTTTGCCCTCCTTCCTTCCCCATCTCCAACAGCATTCTTAACTCTTACAAACTGCAAATGATGTTGCCTTCAGTAATTCTCTGTTGTTGTGTCTGTAGACAAGGTAAGCTGTGGTAGTCTTGCAGTCAGGTTTGTCTGAGTGTAATATATAATAAAAAGATATGCAGGAGAGAGAGATTCATACAAATTCTGCATGAGGCTTTAATTTCCAACTGATAAATTACTTGTTCATGTCCATCTTAAATCATAAAGGTGACTTTTGTATACATTCAGCATTTTTTCCCTTGTTTCTCTCTCCCACTGGAAACAGTTTTAACTGGCTTCTATTAAGAGACATCCTTTTTTCATTAAAAAAGAAGAACTTCATAAATTATTTTCCTTGTAAATCCTATGTATCTACAGGAATAGGGTTATAAAAAATGATTTTTAAGAAAGTTTTCTTTCAAGCTTCAATTCCAACTTGATATTCTTCCTGTAGTTGGCTCTTTCTTATAGCTTTCAATATCAGCTCTGCAATACTTCTCTTCTAGTATAGCCTTATGCAGTTTCATCAAAGCCAGGCCTGAGCTGACAGAAACCTCTCTCAGCAGCCTTATTAAACCTCCCCATTCCTCTTAATCACTGGTACAGCGGTTCCCACATCAGGCACAAGAATGAAGACTGTAGTAAGTGGAAAGGTGCCTTAAGGTTTCTTAAACTTCTTGACCTGTATGTTGTTGAATAAGTATCTTTTTTTTTTTCTCTAGAAGAGAGCCTTAGATTTTAATCAAGGTACTGTGATCATATCTTTCTTTTGTTACCTCCCTGAACTATAAAAGAATTGCTCCAAAAGAGTAGCATTGGTTTGATATTTTAATTTGCAAAAAACTCAGAAATGGAGCCAGGCAGAGACTTGCCTGTCAGAGACTTTAGTTTTGTTGAACTGTATTTGTTTAACTTGGAGAAGATGGTGCTAATGCTGAGATACTGCTGCTTCCCCATATGTAGCTGCATCACTACATAACAAAGTTAGTTACGTTCTCTTGTGCTTGTTTTCTCCTCTCCCAGTTGCATCACTGTTTGCATAGCTTTTTGTTGCCGCCTTTGCTGTGGCGTGCTTGAGCAGTACTGAGGAAGAAATCTATCCTCCTTGCAACTGGTATGCTGATTAAATAAATTTCAACTGCCTAGAAGAGTAATGGCTGAGTTCCTCCTTAAAGTTTGTATATGGGGGTGGCCCAAAGCATGCATCTCCCACTTGACTAGTGACTTGACAGCTGTGCTACTCCTTTGTTAGTTCTCTTTCTTCTTCACAGGAGATAGATACCTTATTTAGATGCTGTAAGGCTAGACTCTTAGTCATATTGCTTGTTGGACCAAAGGATGTGGCTGAGTTCAAGTTCATTCTGCATATGTCACCATCCATTGGAGGCAGCTAAATCATTCTGGTGTTATGTGTTAGCCCGCACGTCATGATGTGCTCCTGCCATTTCGTTGTCCTTTGTGCCTCTGTCTAGTATGTGCTCCACTCCTCCGTAGTCATTCTTACTGCTGATGCTGCTTACATTGCTGCTGATGTTGCCATCCTGCCTATATCTGCATCCGTTACTGTGTGTGTAAGATGAGAGGCTTTGCAGCCTGCTTGAGGTACGTTTTTGCAGCACGATTCCGAGCTTGAGCTTTGGGATGTGGAAGGACGTGCAAGGCATTTTGGGAAGCTCCTGCAAGACAGAAGTGGGCTGGGAGAGACAGGTGTTCATGTCCTGATACAGGACCTTGATTCTGCCTTCTAGTCTGTGAAGAGATTTCTCTGTCAAAACAAGTACCTGTTTACTTCCTGAAGAGAGTCCAGATGCAACCTAGTATGTATGCTATGTATGAGACTGAGGAGCTAGAGTTCCAGCATGCAAGAGGGCACTAACCCTTGTGATATGGGTACACCATAAATGCTTTGGCACCAACTGAGCCTTTCCTATTAAAATATAAGAGGCTCTGCTGCTGAGCAGAGGTAGTAGACCAAGCCCCTGGCTATTTCATTGTCCAAGTGAGGTGCCTTCAGAAATGATTTTGGCCTCTCATTGAGGGCTAATCGGCTGCCGCTGAAGAGAACTTTGTCCAGTTAAGTTTCATGAACTTTTATACAAGAAATACATGTTCTTTTTCAGATTTGTCCATAGTGACACTTAGTATATGCATTTATGCAGAACAGCCTAAAAATGTGAACACAGGGAATAAGTGGAGAAATCCAAAAAGTTAACAGTTCACTGCCTGTGTAGCCAAATAAGGCAAAAAACAAACAAAACAAAAAACCAAAATCAGATACAGTCTCATATTCCAGTAACGTGGTCATCCTATGGAATTCCCAGTATGATTTTAGGTCACTAATAGTTCTCAAACCCAGAAGAGGATTGAATAAAAATTGAAGTGCACAAAATATGACCGTAATTCATTTATTGGAAGCACTGCATAGATTTATTTTATTTGTTTGTTTTTTTAGAAAATGACTTGACATGTATTCTAGGAATCTGACCTTGGGACTAAAATCATAGGCTATGTTTACATGCTGTTATGTAAAGATTTTACTTCCCATTTGTTCAAAGTCGTTCTGTGAGAAGGAAAATCAGTCATTAAGTCATAGAAAAACTAACATAGTAGAAAATGTAGAGCTGATTGATTATAAACTCACAGAGAGTGTCTAGCACTGTTTAGCCACTGATGTTTTGACAGCCACTATTTGTTCTCGAAAATGATTATTTTTTGAAAATGTTATAAGAATAAATTACTGCAACGGATATGATAGTTGATGAAAATGTTTTTAAGAACTATTATTGATACAATAAATAAATGTAGTGAACATCAATATTTTTCTTTGTTTTATTCCGTTTCATGCCCTGATATACTTTATTGTAGGAATTCTGGAAGGATTCTCAGTAAAAATAGTTTTCCTTTGTGACAAAACACAGAAGGTGTCATAACTGATCCTAACCATCCAAAACTTTATCTTTTTAAGTAGAAGAAAGTTTTGATGGGCATAGCTTGACTATAGGAACATGTGGGATAAACTTTCAGACTGTCTCTACACATGATTATTTTGTTTAGTGTTTGTTTTTTACCCTAAATGTAATTGTTCAGTTAAATTACTATTTATTTCAGAACAATGTGCTTTAAGAAAAAATCAAGGTAATAGACTTTGTCATTTTTCCCCATTTTCATAACAAACTAAACGATCTTGGTTTTTAACCTTCAGAATCTCTACTGATGTTTTGAATGTTTTTTGTCCTGCGTATTAAAGTCTTAGCAGTTCTGCAGTATTGCAAATCACAAACATTCTGAGCAGTGGTGTAAACTTTGCTCACTAATGAACTTGTGCCAAAATTGACTGGCATATTAAAAACTCACTTTTGAAGTATAATTAATTCATGTAGTGTAGAGAGAGAGACTAATATTTACAGGATGCATTTTCAGAATGAATAAATACTTTGTATTCTTTTCTATATTTTTTTATTAAGTTGGATTACCATATGCATGATGAATAATATTTCCTCATCCTTCTGTGCCTGAACTCCCTGCAATCTAACCAGTTGCTAAGTTCATGCAAGCTGGATTTAAAGTTCACAGTTTCCACCAAGAAAGATACAAAAGGTTGGAACTAGGTACTGAGGTTTGAATATGGTGTAGACTGTTTATAGGCGTAGGAGAACAACATCTATCCACGTTTTTTGAAGCTGAGATTTACAGCAAAGGAACAGCTGTTTTAAGTGGGAATACCTTTAGCAAATATAAAACGAAAATTGTAGGCCATCAGATTATTCCAAAACAGCTCTAAAGCAACATAATCCTAGTTCAGGATAACACAGCCTGAGAATTGGATCCCAATTTTGTTGACGCACTTTTTCTTCTCCCTAATTAGGACAATTAGGTCCATTGTCCTAATGGACAATATTTATGCGAGAAGTCCTAGGTGCAGAATGATTCCCAAAGAGGTGAGTCTGTAGTCTTGCTTATTTCCCTCATGTGATGCTGCAGAAGCCCAGGCTGTAGGCTCCCAGTTGTTTTGAGTGGCAGTGTTTTGCCAGTAGAGAACTTAATATTGTTTGCTTAGGGCATGCGTTGTTGTAGGAAAAAGTGAGAACTTGATGAAAACGCTCTGTGGGCTAACTTCAGTTTCTATTTAGACACTTGCAGCACACTGGCATGTAGCACGCTCAGCTGTTTGGTGGCAAATTACATTTAGAACTTTTTGCCTTCAGAAGAGGCAGCAAGTGAGATAGTGTGATTATGTTGCATTTAGGTTAAGTAGCAGATTGCTCCAGGGAAAAGAGGAAAGTTGGGATCTGAATTCACTTATTCAGATCCTCCTATAAATGAAAGCCCTGTTATTGGGGAGATACCAACTAAAATTGTCTGTTGTGTTGGGCTCACGTGTTATTCACGTGAATGGCTTAAAGGTAGCAGAAGCTGTTCTTCTGGAGATGAAGAACTTCTAAGAGTCCCAGGGTTTGGGAGCTCGCCCTTTACAAACAGTTGGATTGTCTTCTTTTTTGCTCCTCTTTCCCTCTGCCCAGTCAATGGCAATAAATTTCTGGTCCACACCATCACTTACAGCTGACACTTTAATTTTTTCCTGAGGCTTACAATAAAATTACATCGAGTCAGTGTGACGCAGGATCTTGAAAACCTAGTGTTGAAATAGGTCTGTTAGATTTTTATAGCCTTTTCTCCACTCTTTGGAGGTACCAGTCAAACTAACTTTCAGAGTTATCTTCCTGCTTATATTTGAACACTAAGTATACGTTTTCTTTGAAGTAGGTTAGCTCAGATTCTGTGAGCTTTGAGGAGTCTATTTCCAGAACCAAGGCCCAAGTTAGCACTGTTGGATTCTTCATTCTTCCACTGTGCTAGAGACTAAACCTAATCTCTAACCTTATCATTTCAGTCCTTAAATCCTAAGTACAAATCAGATTTTTTTTTTTTCCCCCTACATCTTCCATTAAAATGTAAGCTGCAAATCAGGAACATTTGATATGTCAATATAAAATTGACTATAAATTCTTTCTTCCTGGTGTTGCCAGATTATCATCTCTATCACACATGCAGAGAAAAACATGATGTTGTGGCTATTTTGCCTAACATGATCCAAACTTTCTCATGTAGCCGATAATGAAGTGTTTGCATTGATAATACAAGATTAATGGGAGTGCGAAAAGAAAGCAGAGGTTAACAGAATGTTTCCAGAAAGCTTTTGGGTAACGCTTTTTCCAGCTTTTAATGTGACTTAGTAGCTAAGTATCCCAGATAACTTAATGATTTGCTATCCTTCCCCTCCCTTCCTCTCCCACCTCCCCTAAAAAAGCTTGCCACGATGTTAAATGTGACAGAGATTCCTGTGGTAAATTGATTGTGGATTTTGTTTTTTCCTGCAATTGCATGTCTAATTCGCACTCTAGCCAATATTAGGAATGGATAGATAGCATTCACCTTGCAAAAAGTTACAGGCTTTTACAAATAATGGAACACGATTTTGTTTTGCTAGTGGAGATGAATTCCTCAAGTTTCTTCAGAAGTTGAATAAAGAGTGTGGTAACCTGACCGTTCCTGTGCAGACCATAAATAAGCATTTGCTCACAAATTCTCACAAGGTATTTAACCAAAGGAAACGAAGTCTAATTTAGAGTTTGGGGAGTACTATTATTCTACTTAATAGAAATGGGGGGGAAAATGATAGTGATCAAAACCATAAACAACTGTTTTTTGTTTTGTTTTATAGAGCTGTCCAATATTCTTCTCCTGAAGTATACATTTTCAAATAATTTATTCCAGAGAGTTAAGTCAGCCAATTAAAGAGCATAGATCTGCTTTTCAGTGTCTCTGCTGATAAAGGAATTAGTGTTTAAAACAGAAGTGGCAGAAGACTCCCATGAAGGCTGAAACAGAGTAGTAGATCATGTCATGCGTAAATCATACTATGCAAAAATATGCTTAAATAAAGTTATAACCTTTTTTTCTGACACTATCTTTTATACTACATTAACTGAAAAATATTAGATTACAATCTACAGTAATTCTGTCATTTAACTGTAACTCTTAATAGATAGTACTGGAGTGGGCACCAGCTGAAAGTTTTACTGAAGTTTGCAAAGACTTGGTTTGCAATGTTGAAAAGCTGGGAAAAGAAGTTACCAAACTGAAGAACCTCATGGAAAAGGTGAGTACGTGCGAGTTGAGTCTACCAAATGTTGTATACAACTTTCTCATAAACCCTGAATGTGATGTCCATCAGTGAAATGTTTGATAACGTTGGTCTGCCGTAGGCTCTCTTCAGCTGTAGTTTGGACATTGCATCCAGGGATTGCAAGCTGCATGGAGGTAGCAGGAACGTATGGCAGGTTCCCTTTCTTTTCTTTGCACCTCTCCCTCTTCTACCTTTCCATGACAGAACAAGAAATAATCTAGAATATTCCAAAGCAGTGTGGACAGTCTCCAGGGGAAAGCGTAGTCAATCTCTTTCTTTCAACCGTAGGAAAGAATTCAGTTGGAAGTACCCCTACATTTATGGATGACTACTATAGTATAAGTGTCACTCAGAATACTTCTTAATTAAGAAATTCTTTGGAATTATTGACTCACTGAAGATGTTAAGGTTTTATGGATTGAATAGGAGGCATCCCAGCTAACTCTGCAGACGTGACAAAAGAAGAGGGTGGGAGAGGTCAAGGCTAGATGTTAGCACCACATCAGTCATTCTCAAACCAACACAGTGACACGCTCTTGTCAGATGGGGTCATTTTAAGTAATAGGTTAGTAAAAGGAATGGCCGCTGGGATAGAGTAAATGGAGCATCAGTGTCAGAAAGGAATCTGTTACTGAATGAAGCCATGTGGAACTGAGACCTTGAGTATAATGCTACTAATGCAATTTCCTGTAGATTAAGTAAATTTAGTGTAATATAACAACCTTCTCCTAATAAATCACTTAACACCAAATGTATTTAAGAGTTGGATTGAGGTTGTAGCAAAGAACTTTTTAGCCGTTTGTGTTCCTCTGTTTGCGTATGCAGAAATCAATTACATGTATATATCTGTATCCTGTACATGCAGGCTAGTTATAAGGGGAGACGGGGGGAACAAGGTTAGGTTCCACTTGGACTTGCTGTCATCTCTACTTAAGGTTTTATACCTGTCAAGATGAAGCATGGTGGCTCTGCATCCACTGTTAAACAAACCAAGGTGTTAAATGTTAGCCTGGTAATCATTTAGAAAATACAGTTCCTGTTGTATTAAAATACTGCAATATGTTCTGAATTTCGCACATTGTAACACTAAACCTTTTTGTGCTATTTAATTTATGGGGGGTGCCACTCTTGGATCACTGTAGAACACTGAAACATCTTTTATGAAAAGTACCGATTTAAATGAAAAAGTTAAACCTCTTACATATAAGTTTGTACAAACTCTTTTAAGATCTTCAGTAGCTTTTGCTAAGCTTAGTCATTACAATATTTTGCCTGCAGTACGTGTTATGTCTTTAGTATATAATTTTTTTGAAAGTTGACCTGGCAAACGAGATGGTCTTTGAAGTACTATGAACTAAGAGAGGGAAGCAGGACCTAACCCTGCTGCACTTCATGACAAGGCTCCAGTCAGCTTCAACAGATGTTGGAGCAGGCACTTGTGAGGTACTTTCCACCCCCTCTTTAACTGCAAGGAAATGTTTTGAAAGTTTCATCTGTTACGTGTTTAACTCATTGTTTTAATAAATAATTGTTTTAGTGATTAAATAGCAAAAGTTCTGTTTAAAGTGCCTGAAAATCAGTTAAAGTATCTGAAAATTGAAATGTTTTGCTATAAGATTTTGGTAGCACCTATTAGCAGTGTTTTACTCCTAAGGAATTCTGTTTGTAAACAAACAGTTTGTTTTTGTAATATGTTACTTACAAAACAACCAAGTACTAGATAAGATAAAGGTTTGCACGCATTTGTTTCAATTGAAGTAGGTCCCAGACACACAAGGAGAAAGAAGTAACATACGTACTAGATGCATGCAGGTTCTTAGGACTGCATATTTCATCACACACTTCAGAAGTTCTTGCACTAATTTTTTTCTTTTTTACGCTTTTTACATGAACTTAACTTCTATCTCAGAGGGAACAGAAGAATGACCCCAGCCGAGTGGAATTTCCAGAAAAAGCACCTACCTTGGAAAACAGATTAGTAAAAATGGGAGTGGTAACATTGTTTGGATTTGGTTTTTTCTTCTTTATGACTAAGTTAGCCATAAAGAAAACCCAACTTTAAATTTTGTGTTATGAATAATTTTGGAAAACTTGTTCGCGTTATGCTTCTATCCAGTATATGGAGCTATGCGCTGGTTTGTGTGAAAACGACTACTTTCTCTTCATTCTTGTGATATTTACATCCAGTAAGTACATTTAATACAGAAATAAATTAATTAAAAATTGCTTATTTGAACATATCTTAAGGTTTTGTTTTCAAAATTACTTTTGGCTTAGCGTGTAGGTATAAAAATCTTGTGTCAAGGCTGCTTTTTTTGGTACACAAAGCTGTAATTATTGCTTACTTACTGATTACTAGTTTCATTGTGAGCTTTAGCTTTTATTCATTAAGGTGAACATGAGCAAGTAATGCTGATTATATTGCATGTCTGTATTTAAAATGATGCTGCAATTTTTTCCTTGAAATATCGTAAAGTATCTCACACAGTTTCATGTTGAACGTCTGTTGTAGTATAGATTCATATGAAAAACTTTCAGGTGTACTTTTGTTTTGTCACAACTACAGGACTGTGGAGATCTTCTTAAACATTACCAAAAAAGTAATTCCCTACTGAACTATGCCATTCAAATCATGCCGGAGATCTGTTTCCTCAGGGAAACTTGCTTCTTTTAACAGTTTTAAGGATTGTAGATGAAATGATGTTTACAATTACAAAAATGCAAGCAACTTAGAAGACAAAGCAGCTGGTTTCTTCTTAGCCTGGCCTTTCACTACAGCAGCCTGATGTTTAGAGCAAATTTTTCTTAATATTTCTCCATTTATGAAGATGTTTACAATTGTGCCGTGAAACACTAATATCTGTATTTCACCTGGTTACCAGTTCCCTTTCTTCCTATGTAGCTTCTTTGGTATAAATAATACAAATCATGGCTGTATTTTTCAAGCTTCCGTTAAAATCTGCAGAAATGCTGAGAGTTTGCGAAGGGACATTCTTCTATCTCAAAGTAAAACAGAAGCAGGCAAAAAAAAAAAAAAAACTTAAGAATCAGTACGGGTGTCATGCTTTTGCTCTGTGTATTTTCAGAGGCGTTGTGTGTAGACTTTAATCTTTGATGCTCCTTCCAGAGAGTAGAAAGACCAGATAAAACTGTAGAGCTACTCTGAGTAGTATTTATTATTGTTGTCACAGTGGTTTTCTGCTTTTTGTTTCAGAAAACTACCTTGGGTGTTAGTATGTTTCCTTTTTATTGCAGTTGTTTCTCTTACTTTCCTCCCAGGTTTCTCTTTCAGTGCAGGGAACTTCTCCCAGAGGTGTGATGAGGAAAGAGACAAATACAGCTATATTTCTTTCCATTCTGTTCCCAATTTTGGGTCAGAGGGGAGAGGTAGTGTTCCTCAGCACCGCCTTCTGCCAGCAGAAGTGGAGAAGTGCACACAGTATCAACATACTGACTTGAACCAGCAAAGTATGGAAAAGAAACTCTTTTAAAACTAGTTCTTTGTTTCTTCATTATGTCTTATAATTCATCCTGAACTAACAAGACATACATCACAAAAGGAAAAATCCATGGAAATACAAACATCTGTATAGTGCAGTTTTAACTGCACATAGTTTTAACTGTGCATAGAACCTTATTCACGGGTACAGCTTTCCTTCTATAACTAACTTGAAATACAGTTCAAAGTATACTCAAATACAGGGATGGGATAGCTCGCAAGTGCTAATAAAACTTTGATAATGACATCTTTGCTGTGTTTAGGATTTTGTTTCATAGTGTGCTTCTTGCATGTACTTTCATCTTAGCTAAATGGAATTATTTCAGCCACTGGTAAGATTTCCATGACACTGCCCTCTAAAAAGATTCTGTTATTTAGCCTCGTTATACCTCAGTTCTCCATTTAAGTGAGAATTTACATTAATGAAGCCGCTTCAAAGGCACTGAAAGTAGCTTCCATTTCAGAGCTGCAGTCACCAGCGCATTTCCTGCCACTAGTAACTCTTACTGAGACAATAACTAAAAATTTATTTTCCCATGAATTTGAAGAAAAGATCCACTTGGGTGGAGTTCTTTGTATGTAAGCCTTGAAGGTCTTGCAGTTGAAAAGGAAATGTGCTCCACATAACAGTTTTGTCAGTATTGAACTAAGTGAATAAAGGTGTGAATGATCAATGTAAAATACCTGTGAGAAGAAATAATACATGAAAGTTATATGTGCTGATAAATGTTTTTGAGTTTAAAAGTTACAATAAAATATTCTTTGCAGAAACCAGTTATAGGTTTGAATGCTGTAGTGAACTGCTTTTATATAGATAAAGTCAACAGAAAAGTAATATCTTAAAGTTCAGGTGTCTTGATTTGACTACTACAGTTGCACACAAGTTAATTTTTTGTAATTTGTTTGGATAGGAACATGTTTTGGACCTAACAAAGGAAACTAGAATCATTAGAGAATTGTTTTCTTCCAGAGGCTTACACATTAAAAACAAAATATATTTATCATGCTTTAAGTAACACTTTTTATTTGCTGTATGGTTTACCTAAAGTGACTGCCTTCTTAACAAAAAGGGTTATAAATTTTATACAGAAAGCTACTACTTAAGTAGACCTCCTAAATGCATTTGGGAGAGGCTGGTCCTTATGTCTCCTATTTCAAGTGGTTATCTTTGCAATTGTGAACTCTTATATGGGTACACAGCATTCAGGTTAAATGCAGACTTACTGCCACTAACATCCATAGCAAGTTGTACTATTCAAGAGTAGTGTCTGGAATGACATACACCATGGATGAGAAGGAAGGATCTTGGAATAACTATTTTGAGCTGTCTCAGTAATTGATCAGTCATTAGCTGTGCTGAGTGAGTAGGATAGGTTGTGAGCTCGATAACCAAAGATCATGTTAATCTACCATATCACAGAAATTGTGTTTTTTCCTCTTTGGATTTCAAATTCAGGCCCAAACAATGCCTTTCAAGGTCCTTGTTTTCATGTTGTTCCAGTGCCCTTTTCAAATACGCTGTTTGAGGAGGTATCACAATATGGTTGTGGATAGGATGAGAAGCAAAGAAAGAGATT